AGATGAAGAAAGAGGATACAGAGGACAAAGATGAGGCTGAAAGCATAGGAGTTAGTTGTTAGCAGGACTGTGAGCTAGGGAGCTGGATGGAATTGCAGTTATGGAGACAGGATTTCATCCCAGAGAAATAAAGTAGGTGGATACAGAGCTTGGTATGTCTAGAGTTATTCCTGCCTTGAGTGCCTGGTGGAGCTATAGCTGAACTGATGTAATTTTGTCTTAGAGGAATGAAGTTAACAGTCATAAGAACATAGTGGACATAGATTTTTTTTTTCCCTGATATACCACGCCGAGCCTAGCAAAGCCCCCTTGGACCCTGGGTGTACTGCATTTGTTTATGCTGCATTTGTCTGACAATGTAAGGATGTGTATTTAATTACGGAAAGATCTGTTGTGCTTGTTTCACCTTGCCTGTCAAACACTCATAACTAATAATAAGCCTCTGTGTCATGATTTGGGAGCTGGATGGTGGCCTACAAGAAAAAGCCTGGTACATTTGGTGTTCCAATATGGGGCCCAAATTTCCACATGGGGCCTGAAAAAGGAAAAAAAAAAAAAGAGAGATACAGCTCCTTCAAGAGGCTCTGCCATACAGCAAGTACTTGAGCAGCTAGTAGCTAAGTAAAAAAGCCTACTGCAGCATGGGCATCACAGAGCTGGAGTGACTGAATGAAGTTCTGGTCAAAGGCACCTCTGAACCAGGTGCTGCTAGCCTAAGGCTCAGCTCTCACAGACCTGAAAAAGGGGTAGAGCCAGCCTCCAAAGGTGGAGGACCCAGTAGTGACATAGCAGTTTAAGGTTTTCCTCATGCAGACAGAAAAGGCTAGAGATACACAGTAAAACAGGTTCAGACAGAAAAAAAAAAAACAAAAAAACAAAAAAAACCTCTAAACAGGTTATAGTGCTTTTAAAAATATATGCAGGCTTAAGAAAGAAAAGAAAATGGGTATAGACAGTCATAGAAAAAAAGTGAATAGTTTATAAATAATAAAAAATGAATAAGCCACATAGAGATGGGAAATACACAGCGAGTCTGGATCCTGTACATGGTTGAGTTGTCTTGGAATTTTTTTGAATGCTGAAGACCGAACATCAGCTGCTAAGAAACACTGGATTGAAAAAGGAACTGCTGAATTAAACCAGCCTAGATACTTTAGGAATGCCTTAATTTTAAAATGGAAGTAAAAAATGTATTGCTTTGGGGAAGAGGTTATGCTTTTGTTTTCATAGGAAATGAAAGGCTGTAGATTTGTTCAAGGTTGATAAAGATCAGGTTTGATAGTGGAAGACCCCCTGAAAATCTTGGCCACAGATATAATGAAATAAACCTAGAAAAACTATAAGACAAGACAGGTGACATACATTTTACCTGCTCAAACATAAAACAAAAAAAATATATTTGCATGGCTATGTACAGTATATAGTCTCTGACTGTGTTAATGCAGATATGTATGTTACCTTTGAAAGTTTGTGTGTTTTCAGAGCAAGGAGCCAGACACCAATGAAAACAGGTGGCCTCTCAGAGTGCCTCTGTTACAGTTTCCTCAGAGTTCTACATCCAGAACAGCTTCAAGGATGCTGGCTGAGATGATACAGCCTCAGACTATTCTAGCCAGAATTGTAGATAAGCCTTGCATTTTCCCATTGCACAGAGACTGAACAACAAATTGTTATAGCTGATCTTCCCAGGACTTAATCATTATCTCAATTTTCTCAGGTCTCCTAAAACAATGTCTTTGCCCACATTCCCAAGAGGTGGGGTAGGTGGTTTTTGGTCATTCTGTGGGTTATGGATAGTTGTCATCATTTAGTGGGGATACAGGAATATAGGGTAAAAAGGACAACTATTAACTTAAAATACTTTACATTGGTATGGATTTTGGTATATTGATACAAATTTAATGTTATACTGTATATGTTTCTATTCTTGTTTAAGGTATTGTGCTTATGCAGTTTATTTAAAAATGTATGATTAAGAAATGCAGGTTAGTAGTTGTCATCTATAATAATCAAACTTGTAGCCTTATTAGATATGTTTTTAAGATTAAATGGATTTTTTTTTAGATAGACAGGTGATTTTCAAATGCTTCAAAGACCTACAGAATATGGCATTCAAGATGTTTAACAACCTGAGGCTTTTCATGACAGTGAGACACATCTGCTCCTGGCATCACAAATTTAATTCATAAAAGGATGGTGGGCATTGAAGAATCTTCATATGGATTTTGCTTTCAATACAACAAAGCTAACCATTTGGGTAAGAAACTGTCCTTGCCTCCACTACTGACAGTATATCATCCAAACTGGACATGCAAGATACAGAAGAAATAGAATGCTGAACTTTGCCAAAACAAGGTGGACAGTCCTTCAAAATTCGTCCTTTGTAGAAAAGTCTGCCAGACATTCTGCAGGATACACAGGAAAGTGACAGCTAGACTTTGCCAAGACTAAGTTGGACAGTCCTTCAAAATTCCTGCTTCATAGAAGAGTCTCCCAGATATTTTAGGCCTATAGTTCAAAGACTGGATGCCCCAACATTGCCAAGGAACCTTGGGTAACTATTCAGTCAGCCAGATATCTCTATCATTTCTAAAGATTTGGAAATAGCTTGTTCCACTCTTTCTGTTTACTCAGGAAATACATCCTTCTGGGGTCTTTGATGGTGTTGAAGACTAGATAGTCATAGTAATAGTTTTCTTTAGTTATGATAGAACATAAATTAGGTACAAAACTTTGGACTCACCAAGACAGGATAAATAATTGAGTTTTTTCTTTGAATTTGCCAAATGTAAATGGACTGGACATTGGAAGCTTACTTGATAACTGGTCTTATTGTATATAGTCTTACTTGATAACTGGTCTTATTGTATATAGTCTTACTATGTTAAAGTTAAAACCTTTCTTTTATACAAAAAAGAGGAAATGTTGTAGAATATTATTTTAACTGAGCAAAGATGTGTTACATTTGTTTATGCTGCATTTGTGTAACATTGTAAGGATGTGTGCTTAATTATGTAAAGATGTGTTGCATTTGTTTCACCTTACCTGCCTAAGGCACCTAATTGGTCTAATAAAAAGCTAAACAGCCAATGGCTAGGCAGGAGAGGGATAGGTAAGGCTGAAAAACAGAGAGAATTAATAGGAGGAGAAATCTAGGCTCAAGAAGAAGAGAAGAGAGAGGAGGAGAAAGAAGAAAATGGGGGAGAAAAAGAGGGAGATGCCAGGCGCCATCCAGGCAGCCACCAGACAGACAGACATAAGAAGCAGTGACAGTAAGACAGACAGACAGAAAGTAAGCAAGGTAAAAAGCCCCGAGACAAAAGGAAGATAAAGAGAAACAGGTTAATTTAAGTTAAAGGAGCTATCCAGAAACAAGCCTAAGCCGGGCCAAGCATTCATAACTAATAGTAAGTCTCCATCTCATGATTTGGGAGCTGGTTGGTGGCCTAAAAGAAAAGGGCTGGTACATCTATGTACCAGCTTCTGGCTTCATTTCTTGCTAAGTGATTGCTATAAAAAGGGACTTTCATATGTCCACAATGGTAGAAAATTGGAGTGGTTTTCATTCTGGAAACCAGCTGTGAAGCAATAAAAATGGAAATCTACACAGCATAGGGAAAATGGGAACCCCAAAGACAAGGGATAGAAGTGAAATTTCACAAATATTTTACATCTAAATGTACTGTATTAGGTTTCATGGTTTGCAAGACTGAATACCAAATGTAAAATCACAATGTCAGAAAAAAAGACCTTTATAACCTACTCAGCAAGTAGTAGAACTTCCAATATTAACTCTCTCAGAATGTTATAATAAATATTATTAAAGGTGCACATAGAATAGGTCACATACAAATGGAAAAATGAGTATCCTGTATTTTTTTAAGCTATTTCTTATAGACTTCCTGAAAAGTGAAGTAAAATGAGGAATGTCTCAGGAATAACTGATAACTATAGCCTTTGATTACAGTCTCTGACAGTAACAGCAATAGTTACTATTAAGGAGAATCATGGACACCAATGACTTTTCTTGACAACACCTTCATTTTCAATGTGTAGCTTTTGTGGATCTTAGTAACTGTTTTAAAAATCTCTGCGTATATGGATCTACTTTCAAACTATTGGCAGTACTGAATTAAGCTATTAACAGGCCAGAATTGTTAGAGACTTAATACTGACCTTGTTAGTTTCCAGAGGCTCTGAGTGTAGACGAATTTCTAAACGGTCTTATTAAATAAGAAACACAGAGCCAAATATAGGGGTAAAAGCCTTAGAGATCAGGGAAATAGTAAGAACTACTGCTATAGCTTCCCAAGAGAGCTACTTCCTGTCTTCCCAGGCTTTTATTGCCTTGCTGTTCTGCCCTCTCATTGGTTCTTAGCCCAGCTACCTCATTTCCTTGTCACTGCCTGTCTGTACAGACCTCCAGGTCTCTATGGTTGGTACTGGGATTAAAGGCATGTATCATCACACTTGGCTGTTCCCTAGTGTGTCCTTGAACACACAAAGACCCTGCCTGCCAAGTGATCAGATTAAAGGCGTGTGCTACTACTACCTGACTTTTGTGTTAATGGCTTGCTATTACCTCTGATCTCCAGGCAAACTTTATTTATTAACACACAAATATAATATCACCACATTCAGCACAAATAAAATATCACCACACCTGAGAGGTGCTTTTCTATCTAATTTATTGAGCAAATATTTATTTAAAACCGATTATGTGTAGGCAAAAGGCTAACACAGAGTTTCCAGTTCCAAAGAGCTTATTGTCCCATGTGATAACTACAGCATGATGAAACAGTGGCTGGTTAGATTTGATGATGTCACTCCAGGAGTATCCAGGCCTCACAGCACTTGGACAAAAGTATTGGAATTTCACTTCACCCTCTGGTGACTTGGAACAGAATCTTTTCTTACTGTGTGTGAAAGCTGAGAAAGCCACTTACCTCCCTGGTCTTCTGAGTTCCTCCACTGAGACACACAGAAATAAGAATTCTTACCTTATGGGATTGTTTGGATGAGGTGCGTTTTCCCAGTTAAAGTCGTTGTTCTGTAAGTGATCCTCACTGTTGATGGGAGAAGAACCAGCTGTGCTGCAAGACAGCAGAGCAGCAGGCAGAGGAGCAGGGGCCTCTGAAGACTGGATGGGGTTTTACCCAGTGACAAAGAGAAGGAAATGTATGTTACATAAAAAGGACAGCAAGTAAAAAGAGCTTTGAAAGGGGATATTTATTGAGGAAAAGAATCTGTATTTTTTTTAATGAGATGCTAATTTAGTCAGGGGTCAGGAAAAAAAGGTAAGAATTTGGACAGGGTTATAAAAATTTAAATTGGAACACTCTGTTCAATTAGTGCTAGCTGGGACTCCTGTTTGTCAGAGTAAGGAAACACTGGTGCCTGGAAACATTTCCAAGCTCACACACAAGCACACAGATTTCATTGGTATAGGGAAAACACAAAAACAAGTCTGTTCCATTAGGGTAGAATAACCTTCAGGCAAGGGGGATTATTTCTTTTGAAATAATGAAAACCTCTTCAGTCTCAGCATCAACATTTCCTTTTTTTCTTTTTTTTCTCAGAAATGCTATCACTGTTGGCAAGAAGTAAGAAATGTAGACATGATCTCTTCTGTGTGATTGAGGGAGCTGTGCAGACAGGTGAATTTGTGCATATTCATTTGTACAATTAATTTCCCAAAAAGTATACAATTCATTTCAAATACAACTATATGCCAATGGTCTGAAAAATGCAGGAGTCAAAATAGACAAGGTGGAGTCATTAGGACTTCTATCTACTTTCAAAAATTGATATGTCCCAATTGAGCATGGCCAGTCTGCACAAAGACACAAGGGTTACATATATCCAAGATATGAGGATTCTTAGCCATGATGAAAAAGGCGTCAAAACCCCTCACAGGTGTGAATTTCTCACGGAAGATAAGAATGGCGACAGGGCATCTTTACTGGCTGGTGACTGAACCAGGTACCCTCATGCACAGATATGGACACATTAAGGTTAACTTCTGGCTGTTTCAAGTGAGCTCAGTCAAGGCATCCCAAGGCATTGGCAATTGTTTCTCTGAAGACTACTTACAACAGCATCAGCTATACGGTTCTACCTCAGATTTACTGAGTTAAACAGCTGTATAAGACAGCTGCTTCACATCTGAGTTTTGACAAACTTTCTTTCATAATTTACGTGAACAGGAAATTTTGATGAAGGAACACTTACTATGGTCTATCTTCTGTTCAGTGAGAAAAGTGATTGATAGGATATGAGACACAATTCTTGTCCTCAATAAGCTCACAAGAGTGGGCAGATGAAAACCTGGGAGATGAGATGTAACACAGTATTGATTTTCTGGTATAAACAAGACATGGGCTGAGTTCTTTCCATGCAAACCACACCTGTATAACATCATAATTACCTTGTAAAACAGATATTTTGAATTGAGTCTGGTTGCACTAAAGGAGATAAAAGTAGTTCATGAAGACTGGATGAATTCCGAGAGGGAAGTAATGGAAACAGTGTGGGAACACTTCCCTCACACTCTGAGCAGCAGCAGTTGTGAGAAATGTGCATTCCCAGGACTTTTCCTCCTTGGCGAAGGAGAGAGCTCATCACAGCAAGTTTTTAGGATGTCATTAGGCATTTCATTGAAAAGTAAAGAATGGTGAGAATTCATACAAGGAAACGGCACTAAAAACTATAGGAAGATGAGCCCAAGCAAGTTTTCTGAGTTCTAATTTGAGCCCCCAAATGAGATAAGAGTTCTATGGGTTCACTGTTCCCCATTTGGAGAGCTTTCTGGGTCTCTCATTCTCCACAAAAGGCAAGTGAAGGACCCTTCCATTGACTGTCCTTTCATATCGTCACATTTGAACTGGCTACCAACATGGATTACCAGTGTAGTCATACTTACCTATACCATAGTATCCGTTTCATAAAACCTCTCTCACTACCAAAACCTTCCTAAGAAAATAACTTGTATGTGCATGTGTGCGTGCATGTGTATGTATGTGTGCATGTGTGCATGCATGCGTGCATGTGTGCGTGCGTGTGTTCAAGAGTCCAATATACTTCAACTCTCTGCCTTCAACTCCCTCTAAAGTATTTCTGAAAGCACAGCTGGGAAAATGTTCAGTAGACAAACTCAGGTCTTACCTTTTCTCTGCTCAAAATCATTTAATGATCTCACATTTCACTCAAGTTTAGACCATAGTCTTTGAGACAGCACACGAGGTCCAAATAATCTGCTCCCTCATCAGTCATTGCCGCACAATGATACCTCTCTAACTCCATCTGCTTCAATTTCCCTTTGCTGTCTCTTGTCCAGCCATGACTGTCCTGAAGACTTTAACATAGCAAGCAGGCTTCTTAGAGACGGCCCTTGCAGCAACTTTTCATGCTGCATGGCGTTTTCTCCAAATATGACTGTAATTCACTCTCTCCCTTTCTTTGTTTCTAGCACTAGCTCATAAGGACTTCTCCTTGGGGTCTTCTCTATTCACATCACCTAAGATTGTGGCCTGCCCATCACTGCCTCCTCTCCTCTGTTATTTCTCTTGCACAGCAAGTTACGGTCTGTTCATCTCAGTTTCCACATCTGCCATCTTAGTCATCCATAAAAACCTCATCTAAATGATGGCAGTTCCTGACACTCCCCTTTTTTTTTAAATCTCCCAAGCTTGAGTATGCACTATATCATGTTATTACAATTGGTAATGATGCCGGCTTGCTTTAAGTTTAAGCAACAATGTTTTTTACCTATTATACTTCTGTTTTTCCTTCAATTTCCCTTCGCTGTCTATACACTCCCTGAAGCAATTGTTCTTCTATTTTTTTGGTTGGTTGATTTTTGAAGCAGGGTCTCATCATGCAGCCCTGGTTAGTCTGAAACTCTCTATGTTGACCAGGCTGGCCTTGAACTCACAGAGAGTAATCAGTTTCTGCCTGGGGTTAAAGGTATACACCAACACACCTGGCTCAAAGCCATAGTTCTGCTGTAACATCTTTCTCGGTTCCAAAGACCAAACCTGTTTTTATTTCAAGAAGCAGTTTAAGAATTGAACAACAGTACTAATCACCTGGAAAGAATTATTAACAAGTGCCAGGACAACAAGCCTGTAGCCAGCATGGTATCATCATCATCCTGCAGATGAGATTCAGTAGCTCACACATGATCCGAAGCCTGTCTCAGATGGAGAACAAGAATGAAATGGAGCCCAATAAACTCCACAGTCCACAATCTATTCTTCTATCTCTGTCCCCAATTAATTACTTCCATTCATTAAACACCTACAATGGGTCCAGATATGTAAGGCACTTCCCAGCTTAATTCACACCTAGAACAACACTGTGGGCTGTAGTGGGTAGCCATTCCAGCTTTGATCTGGAAGTTCCAACCCCCATTGAGATTTCGGTAACTGTCACGCCTACAAGGCAGGGCCAAGAGAGGGCACTGAAGACCCGAGATCCAGATACGCCACTCTTTCTGTTCCTGGACCCTGGACAGTGGAGGTTGACCGAGCAGAGTTCTCCAGAGAAAACCGCTGGACTGCGACACACCTTCCCCAGACCCTGTGACCTACCTATCCCTTCATTTGTAAGTTACGCCACTAATAAACCTCCCTTTTAACTACGTGGAGTGACCTTAATAATTTCACCAATAGTGGGCAAAGTAGTATCAATGTTGCTTTATCAATGAGAAAACCACAGCTCTGGGGGTTCCACCACTTGACTAAGGACTCACACCCATCAAGGGAAGCAGCGTCTTCTCAACTCAGCTACACAATTACACTCCCTGTGTATGCGCTGTCAGCACAAAGATGTCTTTAAATGACATGTTAGGCTCTCGGGTGTCTGAACTGTTGTCAGAGGTCACATAGCCCTTATTCAGTGAACTTGTAATCACAAAGGCTGCTTCTTTTAGAGTCAACACCTCCCTTTCTGTTGCCTGTCTCAACACCAGGAGAGAACAAGTAACAGGTAACAACACCTAAAGGAATTTTAAAAATCCCCTTTGGTTATGACAGGGTTCATTTTACACTAGCATGTGTTTCCTTCTCTCATTTGCAACGTTGTGTGAAAAAGACAAAGATTGTAAAAAAGAGGAAGATGGCTAAAGAGGTGACTCTTTCTCTGTGCCTTTATTACCTATAAATTTTTAAAAATATGGCAGCTGGACACTCCTTTGCTCAGAGTATCCCCCAAGTGGCATGGCTAACCTCACAGAAGCTTCCTGAAGCCTGCTTTGTTTGTTTCTTTGTTTTTGTTTTTGTTTGTTTGTTTGTGAGACACAGTTTCTCTGTGTAGCTTTGGAGCCTTTCCTGGACCTTGCTCTGTAGCCCAGGCTGGCCTCAAACTCACAGAGATCCACCTGCCTCTGCCTCCCAAGTGCTAGGATTAAAGGCATGTGCCACCACCACCCAGGTGAAGCCTACTTTTAAAAATAGTTGTTAAGTATTCTTTGAAAATGTCATAATAAATGATAAAAAAAATCATACATATACATGCATGTATATTTATTTTTTGAAAATGTTATACATATACATGAATGGATATGACCAAATCCCCTTCCCACACCCCTTCCAAATCCCACCATTACTCCACATCACATCTTCCTCCCAGCTTCATGCCCTCTTTTTATAATTTTTATTTACTTATTTTTTTCTCACCGTGTCTAATTATTATTGCCCATATGTGCAAGGGTGTGGGGCTATCCTGAGACCTGGGGAACCTATCAATGGTCACAGTCCAAAAGAAAAAAATGACCATCTTTACAGTTCAGTACTCATGGTCAATTATTTTTTAGCACTTTGAATGGTAATGTGTCTCTGCATTAATCACTACCCACTGCAGTAAGAAACTTCTCTGACCAAGGAGAGTCAAGCACAAATCTATGGATATAAACATAAATACCTAGAAGAAGGCAGTATGACAAGAAAACCACTTAGAAAAGCATCAATAGTTTCTCCCCTAGAACCTGAGTTCCCTAGCCATGGATTTGAACACGAGTTCCTTCCTGTGGAGCTGGTCTCAAATCAATTCAAGATAGTGGTTGGTTGCCCCCATCAACAGTCTTGCCACTATTACACCAGTGGGTACCTATGGTCTGGCAGGCTAATACTGTAACATACAGAGTCCACATTTGGAGGGGGGGGGGGGACCATTGTCATCTTTTGTCCTCGAGCAGCCAGCATGGGGCTCTGCAACCTGTGAATGTTAAACCAGTAGAGAGAGTTTCCTGGTCAGTCCAATACTGGCTTCTCTGTGTTCTGCCATCAAAGTGTGTAGTGTCTTCAGCAATAAGTCTTTCATCTAGCTATGGTGGGCAGGCAGCCAAGAGCAATGGCCATAGCCTGACATGCTTTGGGTGCCTCTTGGGCATTTCTGACAATTGCTCATAGGAAAGTAACATGTGCCAGACAGTGAGAGTTTCACTTAATAGACCATGTCTTCTGGCAACAGAATTGTTATTTGTTCACTAATGCAGAGTACTCCTGTTCAAACTCCCTTTGAGATATATACTATATATATATATGACATATATATAAAATATATAAATGATATAATTTGAGAGAGAGAGAGAGAGAGAGAGAGAGAGAGAGAGAGAGAGAGAGAGAGAGAGAGAGTCGGTATTTTAAATTAGCTTACAACTAGTAAGGATTCATAAGGCCTCCTCATAGAGTCTTTGTGTGCCTGGTGGATCAGGGGCCAAAATTCAAATTCTACACTTCAGAATCCAGAACCCAGTCTTCAAAGGGGGAAGACTTTGGAAACAGAATAAATAAATCAATAACAGGTAAGGAGGATTTACTGAGGAGAATGATGACTCCAGGAGAATCAGGAGCCTGAATCACGCTCTCCAGCAGAGGCCTGGAGTGCACTGCCAGTCAAGCCCTTGCCTCCCCTGCGCATGGACTAGCCAGCAGGCAGCTCTGTCTTCACCTCTGCACCTTCATCAGGCTGGGCTTGGCTTTCACACTTGCTTTGTTTGTCTGGGTAGGTTTTCTTTTGTTTTGCTTTGTTTCAAAGAAAAACTTCCGTTCAGCACTTTGATCCTTATCAAACCAATGCTTTGATAATATCAGAGAGATCGAATATGTCTTATCAATGTAGACAGAGCCCTAGGGTTTCTGGCATGTTCTGTCTGTCCCCCATACCCCCCCACACACACACCCTCCCCTCCACTCAGCCCCAGCTGGCCTCAACCTGCCAGCATGTGAGAGCCCGGGACTGAAAGCCTAAGTCTTTCTGAGCCTTGCTATCTTCTGAAGCTTGATCTCCACCTCCAGCACAAAGCAGTTATGAAAAAAACTCTTGAATTTGAGAAAATACTTTGTGCATTTTTAGTAACTCTTCTCATGGCCGATTTTCATATCTAATTCTGCAGAAGCAGGTAGGGCGTCTCAAAATTATGTATGTAAACCAAAGGACAGTGGGGAGCATTAGGGGAAGGGTGAGGAAGTGAGCCTGTAGTAAGTGGGGAGAAAAATAAAAACTGGGAGTTTTTCAGTGGTTTTTTTTTCTTTCCTGCAGCTAGAGGCCAGCTTATTTTTGTTGTTCACTCCTGCCATCTAGTGGTTACAACGCATTAATGCCTAAATCTGATACGTCTCTCTCTTAACACTTTTTTCATTATCATTATTCGACCATTTCAGACATATACACACGTAGTTTATCATACTCAACCCTCTTCCCTCTCCTATACTCCTGGGTCCCTCCCTTCCCACCATGTCTAACTGAATTGTCTCGTAATTTTATTTATTTGTGGTTTTTATAACCCATTAAGTCCAGTTGGCGTTCTTCAGTTGTTTCTCTTTGCAACAATTCCTGTGCTGTTCTGTCTGTGAATGTTCCGTCTTTGTCGCTGTCAACAGGAAGCCAAAATCTTGAAAAATAAGGATGTATTTGGAGAACTGACAGATTTCTCTTATCCAGCAGCATTCACTGGGAAAATTGTCTCTCAGAAAAGTTGTATTTTTGAAACTCTAGTGAGTCAAGCAATGTCTTTTTCTAAATGTTGAACAGTATTTACAACTGCTGGTTGAAGGTATTCCTCAAGCAAAACAATTGAATAAGGAAACAAAATAGAATTGTAGTCTCTGAGTACTTTAACTTGATAATCAAAAAGCACACCCTGCATTTTTAAAGTTATGTGTAGAGAAACTAACATATGATCACTTACACTATTTTTTAAAGTTTCTTTTAAGAGAACTAATTTTAAAATTGACAAAATTGGAAAATTTTTCAGAGGAGGTATACTTGACTTAATACGGGCACTAAAGGGCAGTAATACACAGGTAGAGGTTTGCTGGCTCAGAGGTCTTCAGGCAGACCTTTCTATGCTGAACAGGCTGGTTTTGAGCTTCACTCTTCCTGTCTCTAGCCCCATGAGTTCTGGGATCACAGGAATTCACCACAATGCCTATGCAGCTTCAAAACCTTTCCCCACAAAGACAGGCCTCAATGGTCTTCAGCACTGTGGGTGGTTCTGCTGAAAAGTCAGCAATACAGAGCAGGATGCAGGGTTGCAGGGTTCAGGGTGGCAGGGTGAGATGTTGCAGGTGCAGTGGTGCAGGGTGAAGTGTTATATTGGAGGGTGCAGTATTGCAGGGTACCATGTTGCAGGTGCAGTGTTGCAGGGTCCTGTGTTGCAAGGCTCAGTGTTGTTGTAGGATGCAGTATTGCAGGGTACAGTGTTGCAGGGTGCAGTGTTGTGTTGCAGGGTGCTGTATTGCAGGGTGCACTGGTGCAGGGTCCTGTGTTGCAGGGTGCAGTGTTGTTGCAGGGTGCAGTGTTGCAAGGTGAAGTGTTGCAGGATACAGTGTTGCAGGGTGCTGTGTTGCAGGGTGCAATGTTGTAGGGTGCAGTGTTGCAGGGTGCTGTGTTGCAGGGTGCAGTGTTGTATTGCAGGCTGCTGTGTTGCAGGGTGCAGTGTTGTATTGCAGGGTGCAGTGTTGCAGGGTGCTGTGGGTGCTGTGTTGCCGACTCCTGTTTACTGTTAACATCACAGTGCATTGTAGAAGCAGCTAAAGGGT